TATATATATATATATATATATATATATGAAGAGTTCATTTGCAAAAACCGATAACTGCAGTTGGGTTGTTTTGATTAAGTAATAATAACTTAAATTTGCTGCCGACTTTATTTCAGTGTAGTGACGTATTTCCAGCTGAAACGGAATACTGAATAGAGGGCATGGTTTTATTTTTGCGCTTCTACTCTCTGTCTCTCACTCATAGCAATCTAACGGTTGGAGGGATGTGTTTAAGGATATTCTGCCCAAGCCGTCAAACTGACGTCATCAGAGAAGGAATGCCAGAGCGGAAGCAAATGTTCAGATTTTGATTAAAGATTACCAAGACAAACAATTTTTTTCAGCGGATTAACTTGCACGGATTAATTGTTTACATCAAGACTAGCAATGTGCGCTAGTAAAGTAACACCTGCCCTTCCTGATTCTTTACTCCCCTTTCACTCTTTTTTATTTTATTTTATAACACAAATGCGACTCTAAATCATATCAGCTCTAAGCTCACTGTGTTGCATGGAACAATACAGAGGTAGTTTCTGTTAAACAAGTGACCCTCTAATAATTTAAATATGTCACACTTGTATATATATATGAAGAGTTCATTTGCAAAAACCGATAACTGCAGTTGGGTTGTTTTGATTAAGTAATAATAACTTAAATTTGCTGCCGACTTTATTTCAGTGTAGTGACGTATTTCCAGCTGAAACGGAATACTGAATAGAGGGCATGGTTTTATTTTTGCGCTTCTACTCTCTGTCTCTCACTCATAGCAATCTAACGGTTGGAGGGATGTGTTTAAGGATATTCTGCCCAAGCCGTCAAACTGACGTCATCAGAGAAGGAATGCCAGAGCGGAAGCAAATGTTCAGATTTTGATTAAAGATTACCAAGACAAACAATTTTTTTCAGCGGATTAACTTGCACGGATTAATTGTTCACATGAAGACTAGCAATGTGCGCTAGTAAAGTAATAATGTACTATACATACTGGTAATGTATAGCCTGAATGCACTCACTGTAAGTTGCTTTGGATAAAAGCGTCTGCTAAACGCATAAATTATTAAATTAAATTCTAGTAAAGTAAATAAAGTCCATTTTGATTTCATGCGAACTTTAAACAAATACAGGTAATTTACAAAATTAAAGTTCAATTGAAAGTATGTTTTTTTTTTTTTTACATATTAAAAGTTTGTTTTATAGCAAAAGCAGATAACTCCAACAGTCGTTTTTTGGCTAAAGCAGATAACGCCACATTTCATGTTTTAGAGTTTTAAAAAACACTCGTTTAATCTTTGTAATCTCCACAGATGACAATGTAGATGCCTGACAAACATTGTTGTTGTTGTGATCATAAACTGTATGGACGTGATTACACGCAATACAGAGCTTTTCCCTCACCATTGTAACG